CTAGTCTCCACACTTTACAGATCACTGCTGTAAACACTACATCTTCTCCAGCCATCAGTGTCTTCAACAGCCGGTTCCTGGTTCTCGCAACTGAAATCTCAGTTCCCGTAAGGTTCGGCCACACAGAGCGCTACGTACGAGACGAACGCTACGTACGCTATGTTCGCAATACGAATAGAAAAATATCTCCCTTTATTGCCAGTGTGACTGGCCACACAGACTTCCGTACGCTACGTACGCTATGTTCCCTATGTTAGCTGCGTCGCAGAGTGTAAACAGCGTACGTAGCGAACATAGCGTAGCGCTCTGTATGGCCGAACCTTTACAGCGACATATCATCTCAGCCTTGCAGAACTCTCCAGGGGCACTTTCGAAGAAAATTGAAGTTTAGAGCGGGCCACGTGAATGGCCACTTGTAATTCAACATTAACATTTTACCAGTTCCACAATAGACCATGCAGTTGCCGTGTTTGCAGTGACAGTGTGTTTACCGTGCACACTAGAATGTGACGTTAGGCATTCATTTCTAATGAATTGTACCTACAGACAAGTGCAGTTGTTTATCAATGCTTTATAAGTCTTTGCTTAATATGGATAACTACACCTTCCAAGAATATTTCAATATACGCTTAATTCTCGGAGTAGCCCGTGATAGTGCCTCAGAAGCTGTAAGACTGTAACCGGGGAGATACACTCAACGTAGATTTCTGGACCCACGCATGTTTCACACCATTGGTCGTCGCATCAGGGAGACTGTCACTGTTCGTCCTTCTACGGTAGGCCAAGGAAGGCGGAGAAGGGCACGAACAGCTAATGTGGATGCGCGCATTCTGAGACGCGTATGGAAGAATCCTCGTACCGGCATTCGTCATATACAAACTGAAGAACATGAGGCGCACGCGACAGTGTGGCAGGTTCTTCATGAGCAGTTGTTGCACCTGTACCCTTTGCAACGTGCACAAGTCTGTTTGGTTTTCGACCATTACAAGAATTTCGCCAGTGGTTCCTTCGTCGGTGTGGTAACGATCCCTTCCTTAGGAGCCCTGTGTTTTTAACTGGCGAAGCAGGCTTTACAAGGAGCGGCGGATTTGGGGTGATGCAAAGCCACATAGTACACTTCAATCCAGACATCCGCAGCAGATCTCAAGTGACGGTTGGGCTGGTACTGTTGGGGACTGTTTCGTAGGTTCATATGTTTTTCGTAGTATGATTTTGTCATCTGAACATTTGCGGTTATAGTTCGTAAGTAACTTCTTCTCTGACGAGAGGAAAGACGAAACAATAAGAAGTGTTTTGTTTGAGGGACGGACGGCGGACGTTCCCCTTCCTCTGGGTTCCCGAAGTGTCCACGGCCGCAGCTACCAGCTTCTCGCCGCAACCGCTCATGACTGAACCTCAGCAATTCTCTAACGGCGTATGGGGGAGTAGATATATAGACCCACCTTTTCTTGATCTCGGCACTAGCTGGAGGTGAGTAGTCAGCTTCAAGCCCCCGCTGTTTTACTCCCGGGAAAAGAGCAACCGGTACGCATTGGATAGGAAGTTGGGTGGACCCTAGAGCCGGTCTCGNGGGAAAGAGCTCCCTGTACTCATTCGATAGGAGGTTGGGTGGACCCTAGAGCCGGTCTCGACGAAGTGGAGAAGACAAAATTCTTGACCCTACCGGGACTCGAACTCCGACCCTTCGGCCGTCCAGCCCGTAGCCAGTCGCTATACCAACTGCGCTATAGTTATTACTGAGTAGAGATAAGAAAAATGTAGAAAGAATGTCTTGGCTTAATTTGAGGATATATGACAGAGACTTTCTGGAGATACTGGTGAAAGCTATGAAAGACATTGATCAGGATTTCCGGTATCATGGCCTGTCCTGACTTGAACCCGGGACCTCCAAAATATGTAGCAGGAATTCCACCCGACCAATCGCAAGTTGCGGTGATTTTCTTCTGAAATTTTATCCCTTCAATGTATCTGATTTATTATGTAGTATTAGTCTGCTAGCTTCCAACATAAACAGATTTTGTGGAACGTGTGAGGGTATCAATTTAATATGTGACCATCTTGATATGTGTATGTCCTCAAATATCTGAGTTGTGCCACATTTTCAAAACATCTATTTCCTGTCTTTATATCATGATTTTGTCCTGCATTTTGGTGACGAGACAGCAACATATACATAATTTTCACAGTGTTTACTTCTAGACCAATCCCTTACTTGCGTCTATTAAAGTTTGTGTGTTTTTCTTTATGGTATCTACATTATCACCCAGTAGAGTCACATGATCGGCATAGGCCAACAGCTGATGTGTCCTTTTTAATTTCTGTCCCACCTGATTTCCCTGGACCTTCCTAATAGCATATTCTAAGGCAAAGTTGAAAAGGAGTGGCGATAAAGCATCTCCTTTTTTTAGACCATTCTGGATAGGAAATTTATCAGACAAATGTTTTCCTACACGGACTTTACTATATGTTTCGTTTAATCAACCTAACTGGTTGCATGGGTATCCCAAATTCTCTCAGAATATTGCACAATACTTCCCTCCTAACTGAATCATAGGCGTTCTTTAAGTCTATGAATAGCTGATGAACTGTCTACACTACCGCATAACCCATAGAAAATACTGCAGAAATAAAGTCGGTATATGTTTACATATTCCGATGCCAAAATACAGCAAGAACTTCGCAGACGTTAATGTGTTGTTCGAATAAACCAGTGAAAATTGAACACGTAATAAGGCTGACTGCATCTCGTAGAAATATTTCCGTAAAATTTCGCAGCCCTCTTCAGTCTACGTATTTCAGATGTGACTGGCGGAACTTGCAACTTGCTGAACCGGTCGCAATTTTTCGTTTTAATTATCTGGTCTAAGGAGATCTTTTCAGCGTGAATTTTCTTTAAAATCTTAGACAGGAACCTGTTCATAAAGTGGCCTGTGCTACTCATGTGTTGATCGTAAATAATGACTATTTGCTTCAGCTCTCTTGTAATTCTAACATGACTTTGTTCTTTTTATGAACTAGCCCCACTGAACCAAGTCCTCCTAAAGCCGGTTGCCCCTTGGCTAGTCAAGAATTTTCCTGCCTTTTGTGGAAACCTAAGGTTCATTACCCTCTTCAATAGAGTATCGAGTTAACGAGAAAAAAGGTGAGAAAACGAAACCCAGAATGTAACCTTAATACTGAGATTTTCATGATCAGTTGAGTTAGCATCTTGTTTCTCAAGAAGTTAAATATAAAAATAATCTCAACTCAACTCAGTTGATATGCAGTGACCCCTGTAGTTCGTAGTATCTTAGGTTCTCTCATCGTTGGCTATGAAGAATTCTAATCTGCGATTATAATACCGCATACTCCGTTACAGTCTACCTACGTTTTGGAGGAACATGTCGCTTCCATCTTCAGACTCGAGGAATAAGCGAAGCAAGAAACTGGCATGAAGCAGGTAACAAGCTCTGCTAGTTTCTTGCTTTGGCTTCTAACAACCTGAGGATGTAGACAGCATGTTGACTTTTAACGGACTACACGGTGTTATATCCTAGAAAATGGAAATCTTCAACCCATTTAGTTAATATAACATGGTACACTTAGGTAAGAACCAACCAGCGGTAACATTCTGTGGCACACAGTAATGGAAATTTCGAAGATGGAAACATATGTTAGAATCGCGCTGGAGCTGTGGTTGTACACAAGCGTTATTCTGTCTAGACTGAATACGTGCTATCAACCGATCCTCCATGTTAGGTGGGTCTCTTATCATCATGGCATGGCGCGTCCTCGGGTTTTGAATGGAGAAGGCCTCCAGACATGGAAGGTAGCTGCGAATATATTGAATAAACAGTCGCGGACAGCCTACAAGAGGTGGTCCTCCAGAATGGGTTTGGGCATGGGGCTAACAATTCTGCACCGTAAAAAATGTGCTTGTGACAAAAATTTGCAAGAAGCCTCGGACCTTGACGGGTTCCTCGGATAAACGACCTAAGCAAAAGAAAATGGATATGAGATTCGGTACGTGGAATGTTAGAAGCATGTATAGGGCAGGTTCGCTCAGGGCAGTAGCAGAAGAAATCTCATTTCTCCTCTTCAGATTATCAGATAGAAAATTTGTATTTGACAATAATGTTTTGTCTCTCATCTATGTTATATGTTCCTTTCATTATATCCTACCTTATTTTGACAAAGGTAATAAGAGCTCTCTTGTGTCCAAATTTAATGTTCTCAGCGCTTAGTTCACTCTGTCTTCACGTTTTCTTTATGGGCTAGAGGCGAAATTTCACATTCATGTATAGCTGTCTAACTTATTTACTTACTTACTTACTCACTCCATGAAGTTGAATCCTTCCTGAGAAACCACCAGTCGCTTAGCTCCTCAAGAATTTCCTAAAATTTTATGGAATCTGAGTGCTCATTATTGTGTTCACAAGAGTCCGACACTGATCCTAATTGTAAGTCAAATTATTCCAGTCCATACCACCTCATCGTATTATAAAAAGGTCTGTTTTAATATCTGGGGCACTCGGTAGCGTATTTGGGTGAGGCACTATGTTACAAGCCGGAAGGTCGCGAGTTCGAGTCCCGATGTGGTGGATTTTTTCAATTTACCTAAACCTTCCAGCGGCATTATGGCCCTGGGGTCGACTTAGCCTCTAACAGAAAAGAGTACCAGAAATCTTCCTGGGGTGTATAGGGCGGCCGGCGCGTAAGGCTGAAAACTTTGCTGCCATCTGTGAGCCAGTTGTCTAGAACAGGCATGTCCATCTTCAAACAGGTTGTGATCGACTTTTTTGTGTCAAAACTGCCAGTGATCTACCACCCCCTCCTATCGTCGTACCTCGCTTTAAGCAAAAATATTGTTAAAAATAACACGACACATGATGTTTGTGGTGAAAGCAACATACATTGAAAGTACAGACTACTTTAATACGTATTTTCCTTTCAAAATCTGAATATAATTATATTATATTACAAGTGAATTTACAAGCTTTTCACGTATAATTTCCTTATAGGCCTATGAGATCGACCAAAAATCGTCCCGCGATCGACGCGTTGGACATGCCTGGTATAGCAGATGAGTGCCTCAACTTCTCACAACCATATGGGCCTCCACGGTATGTTACAAGGATAACTTTTACCTTATCTATTTTAATAACACATTCTCGCAAATTGGTGCAATAATAGACTCCTTCCACTTATCAGGCAAATTTTCCTTATTCCAAATAGAATTAGTGAGTTTATGGATCTATGAACATAACGTTTCATATCCTGCTTTAATCACTTTTGCCGGAATTTGGTTAAGTACATTGCAATTTATATTTTTTCAACTTTGCAATAGCAATTCCAGCCTCAAAAGAACTGCCCCCAGATTCTGTTGACTCAGCTGTACGTATTTCCTTCTGCCTAGCATCACTAACTCTTATATAGATTCAATAACTGAGAAAAGTTATTCATCAAATTTTTCAAAATTCATTCTCATTCTTTACTAAGTCAGTTCCAGGTTGGCCACAATTATTTTATTAAATTATTCCTCGATATACATGTCTAATTTTCTTATCCGTATTGTTTCTTACAATTTTATTAATATTGTCTTCAGACATTCCCCGTTTTTGTTCCTGAAATATCTTACATTGGTCATATTATCCATATCTATTTGGCTTGGATCTTGTGACCTTTTTCAATTTTACTTGTTTTCTCTTATGTAACAGTTTTGAAGCTTATGTCACTTCAGTTCTTAATAACCAAGGCTCTTTTTAACTGGAATTTTTCTATTCTGTATAATAGTTTCCTAAGTTCTATTGATATCCGAAACATTGTTTAAGTTTTCCTTCAGAGATTTTCACGTTTATCTCGTTTAGGCTCTTCAGATTGTATCCATTTTCGATTAGTTGCTTCCAGTCTATCCCTAACTTTTGCCATCACCAGATAGCGATCGGTATCAGAGTCTACTCCATTGAAAGATCGGACATCAAATAATCTTGAATGTTGTCTTTTCTATTTCAAGAGATTGTTCTTATTACTGCTACCTTTCTAGCAGGAGGCGTCCAAAATGTATTAATGTTACTGTAGGAACATTCAGCAGCAAACAAAATTATAGTTGTACATCTTCATTTTTATTTTTATAGATAGAAAACGGATGATTCTCAACTGACTTCTTTGCCTTTTAGTCAAGTTATATTCCGTGTTTCAAATTTAATTTGTTTAGTCTGTTTACACTCTCACTTGACCATTGCAGTTGAATTGACTCGAAACTCATGCATCAAGCCATCAAAATTACGAGGATCTCCTTCTAATTACTGTGACATATAAATCAGAGACACTAAATATATAAACTTACGTGTATTTCTTACCTTCAGTTTCAAAGCAGCGAAACGTCTGTAGTTTAACCAAGAAGTCCCCCCCCCAAATCTCTGAAACCTTATAGATTGAGTACTGTCGCTTGTGGTTCCTAGCGCATGAAACTCTCAACTTCGAGAGGACAGACTACACAAATCAAGTAGTGACCAAATGTCTCTTTTTAATTTACATAGCACTTAGCCACTTAGGACGTAGCAGAAATAATAATTACGGGAGAACTCATCCTTTTTACTTACCGGCTTACAGCATATTTTATCGTAATTAGATAAACTTTCATAGTGTTAACAATGGGCCTACTTGATAAGAACCAGAACCAAATAAATAGGATCTGAGATTCCCACATCGGTGCTTATGAAGAGTACTATCGCCTGCGATATGAAGCCGTGTACGCTTTACTTGCACCTGCTTTTGCGCGGTATATTCCTCCGAAACGTCAGTTGACTTTTAGCGGACTACATGGCGTTTTATCCTAATACTCAAATTTGGATACTTAAGTGAAGTAACCGTGAGGTGAAAGAGCTGAAACTGAGCAATTTCGGGTTACCATAGCAACGAACTGTTTAGCGGTAACAGGTTACATGAATTTAGATTACGCATTAGGCTACGAACAAGCAAGAAGTCTCTTGCTTTTGTCTATCGTGTTTATTCTGTAAAGATTGATGTTATTATTTATATACACCTATTCATCCACTGCATTCTTTTGGGGGTAATAGAATACTACCCGCAGTAATGTGAATTTAATTGTTCGTTATCAAATGCTGGAGGTACATGCTTAGTACATAGGAAAAATATTTGAAATTTTGGTACCACCAGACCCTGAAAAAAATCAGATAAGATTAATTTCTGAATTAGTACACTGCAGGGAATTTGAATTCCTGTGAAATACATTTATTTAACTTTAGTTGAAACTGACAGTACAAATAAATAATGACACATTTTATTAATTAAAATTTAAAATCTTATGAAGTTGTCTCGCTTTTTAATTTGTCAACAAAATATTTTAACGAATAATCTTTCCTTTCATTTGTTTCCATCACAGACCCACCAACCGCAGAGCACACGATGAGCTCTGATTAAATAACGCACAAAAATGACGAAATCTGCTAAAGTAACTTTTATAAAGAAGTGTAAATTTAAGGCTGATTTTAAAATGTGTATAAAAGTTGTAAGATGTTTGTGGAACACTGGTTGAAATGTTCACATGAAAGTTGTGAAGTTCCATGTGAGTGGAAAAATTTAAGATGAAGATATAGTATTCATTGCCCTCTTTTTCATTATAAATAACCGTTACGTTCAGTTTCTGTGGTACTTATAAGAACAAGAATATATGGTTTACATTATGGATTATGGAACCAGAAGTTTCATTACCGTGTTCACAAGAGCCCTCACTGGTCTCTATCCTGAGTTAAATTAGTTTAGTCCGTAACACCCTATCCTATTTCTATAAAATCTATTTTAATATTATATACCAACCTACTTCTTGGTGTTCTTATTTGTCTCTTTCTTTCTGACTTTCCCACATATATTCTTGCTCTGATCTGAAGGAGTATGTAATATTTCGGGAATACTTCAATCATTGCTAGTGGACACATTGGCTTTTATTTTCATTCAACCAGTACAATTTGAATTGTAATTAACCTGACGTTTCACAATAACTGCGCCGACGAAGGATTTAAATAAAAAGCTTCTCTGCTATCTAAATAAATATTATATTGACAGTGAACTGCGACTCCATCTGAATGTGAATTTTTCGATCCCGTTAAGAAGCGCTGAGAACTCGTGCTTACTGGTTAGCTAGACGGCTCTCTCTGAACCTGTCTCCCGTTCCTGATGGTTAACACCTTTCATAAAGAACACAAAGTAGGATCCTGAAGAAGTTGAATAGATCAGGAGGGAACTGATACCAATTTCCTGTTGGTACCAAATAATTTTTAAAATCCATTAAAGTGACATTAATTTCACATGATTTGGAGGGACTAGAGATGCAGCGATATTGAAAAGTGCATGGATTTGGCTTGATCTGGGTTCCATAAAACAGTCTGTATAAGGGATATTGTGTACCCAATTTTAGACAACTTTGCGTCACACTGGAAAGTTTTCATGCCCTCTGTAGTGCCTGCGTCCTTACAAAGAAGTTCATTAAGCCTGTAGTTCTCCCGTGATAACGGAAATTCTACAGTTAAGAATTTCCTTTCTGTGGGTAGGGCCAAAAACCATTGTTTTCCTCAGCCACTTCTTTTGAATGATGGGGCAGATTTCCAACACCTAGAAACGCTTCCTAGTTAAGCCTCCCATATTCTGACTCTACAATTATCACAGACAGTAAATGGCAAAGTAGATATGATTTGCAGGTAACACGATGACTCTTTGTCAAATTTCGACTATGGTCTCGACGATGGGGTTGAACATTATAGTGCAGTATTGAATTCTCAATTTCAAGAATAGTAAGAACATGTAAGATTTGAGGTTTTTACGGCGGTGACTATGAAGAATGCCGTCTTCTGGGATGTGGCGCCGTGTAGACATAGTATAAACCGACGTTTCGGAGGAACGTATCGAGCGTGTGCAGGTGCCACTCTGAAGATGGAGGCAATACGTTCCTCCGAAACGTCGGTTTATACTATGTCTACACGGCGCCACATTCCAGAAGACGGCATTCTTCGTAGTAAGAACCTGGTATTTACTTCGGAAACATAATATCGACTCTTCGTTCATTTTGTATATGGAGTGCGCGTAAATACACGTCTGGCAAGAAGCGGTAACATGGCTGTCAGCCGGAGGATATCTCATGAAGCTTGTTCAAGAAATATCTGTCCTTCTAACAGCATGACCTCGTATCAGTAGTTCGATTAGGAGAGTGTTTAATAGTTGGTTCACATTACTGGCTTTCAGAATTTCGCGTCTCCTTTGGTACAACTGTCAGCTCATTGTGAGCTGGGTTTTTCACTCACACCTGACGTTACTCCACAGGCATCGTGAAAGAAGCACAGAAATAGAGTGTGTAGCGTTCAGTCGGCGAGTTGGTTTAGGATCCAGTCTGTGTAACGTGCGACACGTGTGTACACCCCTGGCCAGTCCTTCCTGCCGCAAGGATCCGGCCCAAAAGACACGACCCCAGCCAGGAAGTAGCGTGATCTGCCATCTCGAGACGACACCCCGGTGCTCATTAAAGGGCCTCCGCTGTCTCCGGTGCACGAGTCCTTGCCGTCAACGCCGCCCGCACATAGCTGACCGTCCCCTATGTCGAGCCTTTTCTCTCGGTAGACTCTGCCGCAGTCCTCGTTACTGACAACGGGCAGCCACACCTGCAGCTTCACGTTGCTGGCTTTCACTGCACACAGAGAGGAGGATGTACAGACACTGCAAGGAAGAAAAGGAAGAGAGCCGGACAGGAGAAAATAATATATGGAAAGAAATAAAGACACAAAGAGAACGAAGGAAGGGACAGGAAGCAGGGACATTCGACAACTCTAATACTGCTTACAGCTCTGAAGATGCTGACAAGAACATGAGGGATGATACCAGAACAGTGCAAGGTGAAGAGAAGGCCGTTGCTAGGCAACGACACGATAAACACCTCTCCACTTTAACTAATGCACATGCAAGAATAGAGGAACTGTTGGGCCATTGATAGGCAACAGTTGCTACAACAGTTGGGGACGTTGTGAGAAACGGTGTTTTCTATGCGACCCGTGCCGAGGTTATGTAAGGAGAGCGAGATAGAGAGAGAGTGCAGCCGAATGAAAGAGTGAATCGCGCTTGTGTTCCTCATTACAATTATTATTATTATTATTATTTTATTAAAAATAGTTGTTGTTACTTTGAAACGGTAGAGGACGAATTCAATTCAGTTCAATTTGGTTGATCGAGTCGTTATCTATTCAGAACTCCATAGAATATTAGGTGTAATTGTTAGACGAAACATCATATTTCTATGTGTGCCAACTGTGTATTCGGCTGCACTTTTGTGTTCAGCGTTAATTGCGGCCCCGCCGCGGGTTTGAATCCTGCGTTTCGATAAATATTTCGGAACTCGAGGGAGGAAAGTGAAAAGTGAATATCAGATCCAAGAGAGGGGATGTCCCGGCGCCGGGATACTAGACATTTTGGACGAATAAAGATTCTACGTTTAAATCAGAACACCTGACATTAGTGCAACAATATATCGAAGCGGACGCGTAACTAAAACAGCTCCTCATGGTGCCGGGCGACTTTGAGAACGTGGCAAATACATATCCCAGCCTCGGTGAGGATAGTGCGGAATGGGCTGCCGTTGTAAATGTAGCGGAAGAAAACGGAGCGAGCTGCTCCAGAGGTCTCCATGGAAAGCCACCTTTTAGTGCCCAATATGGCACTTATACAGTAGCTTCACACGACTTGAAGGCCGTGCTCAAGGCGAGCATTCTAGCAGGCCAAGTTAGTTCACCAAAAGTCACAAGGCAACAAACATAGCAGGAGGGCAGTTTCCAAGAAGTAAGGAGGCGGAAACGGCACACCATCGACGAAACTGCCGGAACTTCAAACAAAGCGGCAGGGCAGACCAAAACGTCGCCCGGCTTAAACATACCCCCGCCCCCCAAGGAAGTCGTCACCCGAAATTTTTTGCCCCCCTCAGAGAAGCGGACATGGACACCGACGCTTTCGGTATTGAGGCCACATCAAATGAGGAGGCAGTTCTTGGCAAAACAGGAGGGCCGCCTCCAATAATCCTGATGTCTACCACTACCCTGATTCAGTTGCAAAAACAACTGAAAGTGTAGTCAAAGAAAACTTTGAGTTTCGTAGCACCACAAACGCAACCAGAGGAATCACGAGAAACAAGGCGGATTTCCAATCCGTCAAATACCACTTCGACACCAATAACATGTCCTAATACTCGTTCTATTCCAAATAAGAAAAAAAACATGAAGGCGGTGATACGCCACCTGCCATGCAACACCCCTGCAAACGACATCTGAAGGGCTGGTGAGCCCTGGTTTTGACGTTATTAGCGGCAAGCAGATGAAAGCCCAAACACCATAAACCTGCCCCTTTCCCTAACAACCTTTCTGAGGGCGGCAAAATCCCAAGAAATTTTCCGACTATCAAGCTTCAGCCACATCGCAATCAGGATAGAGACACGTAGAGCTCAGAATGGTCTTACGCAGTGCCATAACAGTCATCAGTTCGGCCATGTCTGGACAAAGTGCAAGCGACCTTCCCGCTATTTGTGGTGCGGGGGCCGTCACCTGCACAAGTAGTGCCCCTAGAAGAAAAATACATTTTCCACCCAAACGTGCTGCAAATGTCTGTTGGCGGAAGGTGAAGAATCCCATCCAGCCATTTATCGGGGCTTCAGACACGCGAAGGAGGAAGGGTGTTCTGTTCCAAACTCGCCACTCCAGGCGTGTCCTTCACGGCGGCGCTCCGAGGCAGGAGAGATCCGCAGGCAACAAGGCCCTTGAGAGAATAGGACCATGTGACTTACAGAAACTAATTTATTGCTTGAAATTGAGAAAGGCCTACGGAATTGGTGGCATTCCAAATTAATACCCCAGGCACCTTCCAAGGCGACCATTGTTACATTTGACACATTTATTTAATCACTGTCTTCGGCTGTCCACTTTTCCACAGTCTTGGAAGGAAGCAGAATTCATAACGTTACCGAAACTAAGTAAAGACCTCAAATTCCCTCAAAACTAACGTCCGATTATCCTCCTGTCCACAACAGGCAAACTATTCGAAAAAGTCATGCTGAACATAGTCCAAAAGCGCGTTGAAGAAAGAAACCTTCTTAACGCAAGCCAGTTTGGTTTCCATGGACGTCACAGCACGACTCTGCAATTTATGAGGCTAACAGACCAAGTGACCCTTAATTTAAACAATATTATATTTACGGCCGCGGTGTTCTTGGACATCGCAAAGGCCTTTGGAACCACACGGCACTCTGGCTTGCTATATAAGTTATCTAAATTGGAACATAACTTTGAACTCTGAGAGTGCAGCCGACCAGTAGACGTCTACTGAAGACAGAGAAGACTTTATGTGTGCTGCAGTTAGAATTGCATTTGGAATGTGTAATTTGTTGAGATTGTTATAATAACTGTGCTAAAATCCGTTGACAGGAAACGTCTACTGAAGACAGAGAAGACTTCACTTGTGCTTCAGTTACAGTGATATTTTGATTGTGCAGTTCAGTGGGACTGTTGTAGTTGCTTGTGGTGGCGATCCGTAGGTGATCAACGAATCCGATATCAAATCCGGAACCCCGTAACACATGCCAGTACTTAAAATATCTCTGCGTGTGGGAAACATTTAAAGTAATATTTCTGATTCACCAGTGCGACATTTACANGGTAAGTTTCTCACGGCGTTGTCGCTTGCAGAATTCTTATACTTTTTCTTCAACCCTGAAGATGGGGGCGATACGTTCCTCCGAAACGTCGGTTAACACCACATATACGAGTACACGGTGCCAAATCCCAGAAGACTGCTTTCTTCATTTACAAAACGATTTACAACAAGAAGAACTTATTGGAATGATCTTCAGTAAATTAACATCAAGGACAATATTATGAGGGAAACAAAAATGAACATTTGGTAAGCCGGTTTACTTTAGTGAAGTACACATATAACAACATCTTCAAAAGTCTGCTGTGCTCATTATGATCAAACACGAAGATTGATACACAAGTAATAATGTCACATGCAGGGTCTATAATTTAAAAGTAATGGGTATTACTAATCCCACGTGGAGGCGTGGTCGAGTGCCTTCACCATGAGCCTGCGAATCGCGGGGGGGCGATGAAGGAGGAAGTCTCGAATCTGAGGCGGCAAAATGTGGTCGCGATTCCCACAGGACTCAGACCCAAGACAGACACGTCCCCATCCTCTCGTCATAGAGAGCGCCCCACATCATCAAACTCAATTGTCTGGTCGTAATATCCAGATGGATGCTTTATTCCAAGACACTGGCCGACTGACCGTCTGTCGTAACATAAGACTTGACTCGAGAGTACAGCCAACCTAGCCCTCCAGGTTGTGGGTGTCTCGAATTGGAGGCAGTAAAATGTGATCATGAGTCCACCAGAAAGCGTAAACGGGAGACGCATCCTCTCGTCAGAGAGGATGTTACATAAGGACTATGACCGCAAGTGTTCAATTGAGAAGATGAATTACGCGTCTAGGTCTCAAGGGGCTTGTCGCCAAAACGAACTGATTCGCTGCAAGCCGCCTGTCGCAAAATAACCCCGACTCTAACTCTAAGAGTGCAGCGGAGAACGGACAGGAATTGCGGCCATGAGGATTCTCGAGACAGTCGCCAGCCGTTAACGACACGAATAGGAGAGAACTTTGTTGGTATCCGTTACCAGGCAACGGCTAGTGAAGACATAGGTGCAGTACAGCGATTTGTGTAATATGTAGATCCGTGAAAATGTTACATTTACTTGTAGCTACGAGTTATAAAAGTCCAGTAAATCCAGTTACTACTTCATACTGGTCACTAAACGCGTGACAGTATAGTAACATGGAAACCAAAGTCGTGCATTATTAATGTTGTATTTTAGCGTCCTGTTGCACTGATTCGCGTCCATGATGTGTATGTATTGACCGTCTTCTAGTGCACACAGTGTCACTTGTCACTTCACAAATGTTTCGGCATCACTGTGCCATCCTCAAGTGTGTTATTTATGTGAAACTATTGCACTTCTCGCTATCATGTGTCGTTTATAAAATGATTTAAAATGTATATTCGTCATGTACTATAATAAAATTTATCATCTTATACGTCGTATTTCAAACTCGCGTATTATATCATTCTTCCGCTATGGGAGTCGTTCTTCCTATATTTTGTGTATACTGTGTCTTGTGATGTGTCCTTCGTTTATGAGATTGTGTGCACTAGAAGACGGTCAATACATACACATCATGGTCATACATTATGTTTGTCTATTAGGATTCTTGCGTACTATATAACGTACCTTGGGATATGTCTTAAACGAAGAGTACCCGTAACATTTCTAAACAGGACCAACTGGAGGAACACCTGGCCACATGCCCATGTCCACAGATTATTGACTTCAGCCTTATAATAAAATAAGTCTTATGTAGCACTCACTTGTCTCTGTTCTGCCCCATCCGGTGACCACCAGTTCCTCTCCCAGGTGTCTGTTGCTCACCGCTTCGTCGAAAGGCAGGCAAATCGGTTTCACGAACTCTGCAACACGCGCATGAAACTGCTGTTGTTACTTCTCAGTTGCTGCATTAATTACAGCAATGAGCAGCAGTTTCCAGTTGTTTTGAGCCTTAGGCTCTCTCGGCGTCAGTAGTAAATAACAACAATACAAAGGACATACGCCCAACTAGTGAGAATATACACAGGAATGGGGCATATCATGGACGCCGCAAAAGGAAAATAACGCGCAATGGAGAGAGAGTTGCATTCTCAAACAAACACATTTTAGTGCGAAAAACGATAAGCAGCAGCACTGAAATATATTCACTTATGATCTAGTGCAGTGCGACGGTTTCGAAAAGTGAANACGCGTAAGTCTGAAACCTTCGACAGATTTTATTCAAACTGCAGACATTTGTGTTATATGTGTCTTATTCTCTCTTCCTTCTTCTTATATTCCTGTAGCTCCCACTTGGAGCATTGGACATCCGTGAAATGCTTCGCTTTACTTCAGTTTCATAATCTTAGACAGTCGGTAGAACCACTTGGACGGGGATCAGCAGAACTCAAAGCCCCTACCTACAGAATATAACACAAACAGAATAAATGCAGATGTCCATGTCTTGAGCAGGATTTGAACTCACGGTCTCCGTGTTCGATGGGACAAAGATATGAAGGTTGGAACTTTAATAGTGGCAACACTGCTGTAGAGACGCCATGCAACGGAACAAAATAATGTCGCTTATACCACACGTTAGTTACATACCTACCTTGCCTCAGAACAAATGGACTCTCTCTTCCCACATCACGCGCATGCGCAGTGTCGAGAAGAGTAGAGCGTCGTGTTAGCTAGCGGTCTAATGTAGTGTTGTCACGATGTTTTCGAAACAGGAACAACGGAGTTGGATAAAGATTGGATGTCCCGGAGGCCGTACAGCACGACAGTGTCATCAAGGTCTTCATGAAGCTTGCAGGGAATCTGCATTGCCTTACAGAACAGTGGCAAGGTGGGTAAAAGCCTTCAACGAGGGACGCCAAAATGTGGCAGACATGCGTCGGTCAGGTTGTCCTAGTGTCAGTGAAGAAGTGTATGCTCTTTCCGCGTTACTGGAGAGTGAACGACGCCATACGATTCGTGAGCTGCCCGAGAGACAGGATTAGCGCATACGTCTGTGCTTCACTTTCTGAAGGAATGCTTGGGCATGAGAAAAATTGCATCACGATGGGATCCGCATGATTTGACGGAAATGCAGAAATGGCTACGATACGACGCTGCTCGTAACCACTTGGAGCGCAATGAGAGCGAAGGAGAGTCTTTCTTACGCCGTATCATTACGCTGGATGAGACATGTGCCAATTTGTACGAGCCACAAATGAAACGCAAATCGAACGAGTGGCGTCATTATGGGTCACCATGAAAATCGAAAGTTTGTCAGGACCCCAGCAATATGAAAGTTATGATGATTCTCGTTTACGACTGTGATAGTGTTATCCTAACGCATACCGTTTCCCGACAGCAGACCGTCAAGGCGCAGTATTATTTTTGGAACACAACCTGCGAGCAGCTTTGAGAAAGAAGCGGCGACACTTTCTGCAGAACCCACCCATCATTTTGCAGGACAGTGCTCTGCCGCATGCAGCTCAAGCTGTGGCTGATTTGTTCAGTCGATGGGGCTGGGAAGTGCTGTACTATTCACCGTACTCCCCGGACTTAAGCCCATGTGACTTCGACTTGATTCTTAAGACGAAGGAACCACTTCGTGGCATTCGCTTCAGAACTGTTCCAGAGATTCTTCAGGCAGTAGACCGCTCCATTCGAACTACCAACACAACAGGCGCCGCTAAAGATATCCTACGACTTCCACATCGCTGCCAACGGGTTGTACACAATGCTGGTGACTACATTGAAGGACAGTAAAACTTCGAAACATGCATCTATTTTGTATCAGTTGTAAATAAATAGTTACCACTATTAAAGTTCCAACCTTCGTATTTCATGCATTGTACAGCACGGCTGTTGTGATCGGAAAATAATTACTAATGAAATTTAGTAATATATGTAGCGCTTTTCTATTAAATTATGTGTTTAAAATTTAATGTGAGATTTTGAAATTGAAGTTGATTAAAAATATTTGTTTTAGACGCATTTTGGCGCCCCCGGGAAAATCTTAGCTGCCCCCTGGGAAGGAGGGACAGTCTGAACTACAGAATGACTGTGAATTATGACGTAAACCAGATGGAGAATGAATGAAAGACATGGTTTGAGGATGTGTGAATACTAAATACTAAGGAGAATACTAATCTTGATAAAAGAGAGATTGCATAACTGGACAGAAGTGCATGAATTCTAGCTGTACAGTGTGTACTGTGCATCTGTTGTTAGGTGGCCGCATGAGTTGACGAGATATGCAAAGCACAGTGGGGAAGATAAACATGCACGGACATTTCATTAAGGTATATTCGCTGGAGATTTAGGCGCTAATGGATATTAACATTAAACTGTACATTAAGAAATAGACTAGAATGTTGTCAAAGAGTTGTTCTGACTTAAGGTGGCGCCCAAAAGCGGGATTTTATGATGACTTCGATGAATATTCCCGTTGCATATCTAACTTCATGGAGCTGAGACCTTGTTGAGAAGAAGCCACCAATTTTGCAGCTGCTCAAGAATTTACCAGCATTGTATGGAATCCAAAGGCTCGTTACCGTGTTCACAAGAGCCCTCCACTGGTCGCTATCCTCAGCCAGATCAATTCAGTCCATACCACGCAATCTAAGATCCACTTTAATATTATTCACCAACCTACATTTTCGTCTTCCTAGTAGTCTCTTTTCTTTTGGCTTTCCTACCAATATCCTATATCCTTACCACAGTTCGTGCTACATGCCCTTTCCACATCATCTTCCTTGACCTGATCATTCTAACTATACTTGACGAAAAGTACAAGTTATAAAACTCCTCATTATGTAGTTTTCTCCAGCCTCCTGTCACTTCATCCCCCTCCGATCCAAATATTCCTCTCAACAACCCGATCTCGAGCCCCCTCAGTCTGTGTTCCTCCCCTAATGTCAGAGACCAAGTTTCATACCCATGCATAACAGGAAAAATTATACTTTTGTATATTTTAATATTTACGTTTTTAGACAAAAGATTTTGAATTGAATGCTAGCAAGCATTACCCTAGTTCATCTTCCTCTTAGTTTCTTCCTGAATCAAGTTGCATACGAATAAGAACTTCTTTACTTAGCTGAATAATTGCCCGGCGCTGAACAATCAACCAGACTACTCTCTGTAACAACTTATATCGAGCAGGCTGGTGCACAGAATGCGCCCTAGACTTGTGAACTGGAGACAGCGGTTTAGAATCCCAAATGGGGTTACTGGCTACCCTTTCTTAGGGGTTTCGTAGTTTTCCTCAGTTTCTGGTGGTGAATTCCGAGATATGCCTTATCGCTTCCTAGAACTCCTCATCTATTCAACACGCATGCGCATCTACCCGTCTTATTTCAATTGAATATGGCCCTGGCGTCGACTTAGCCTCTAACGGAACTGAGTACCGGGAATCTTCCTGGGTTAAAGGGCGGCCGGCTTGTAAGGCTGTCAACCTCACAACCATCTGTGAGCCGATTGTCTAGAAAATGTGGGAGCCTCGACCTCTCACAAACCTATGGGCCTCCGGGCCTGTTGCAGGGATAGCTCTACTTTACCCTTACTTTTTATTTATTCCAACTGAATAAAGAAACAGGTCATGAGAGACGTGCAAAGACTTGCCATTGAACTGAGCCTCTCGGTCCAGTCTGACGAGACCGATGTCATTGAACCTGTTGGTGGATCTAGCTTCGTATTCTGGATGTATTATGATCCTCTGTACCCCGAAATCTTCTGGGAACGGAGCACAGCTCTCTTTGCCAGAAAACAGGTCCCTCTCGCAGTCCGGGTTCTGCTCCGTGTCGAATTCTCCCAGTCGTACCGTCAGCCTGCAAGAAAAGAGGCACATAATACACGCAGATCGGGTGCAGAAAGGCACAGCAATACGTATAATGGCTCGAAATGGGTATAACAGTTAACTGTGGTTGCAACTTGCATTTATTCATGGAAATATAACAATAAAGCTGCTTTCCTCGCTAATATAAACTATCAGAAATCTCAAACACACCACAATTTAATAGCTTACTTTTTTTTTCGGAAGAGAAATATAATATTAATAATGATTCAGAAGCAGCTATTCATATTGTGGCATGTAGGCAGCGATCGCTAAATAGACGACTGTATATCGGCCGTTGCTAGGCAGCGCCTCGCAAACAACAATAACTGAGGAATGTTATTTTCTGTCTGGCCGTCTAAGCAACAATTGAACAGCAATAGAGAAACTGTTTTTTCTGTGCGTTCCCTGCCGAAGAGGCTTTCTGTTTTTGAAAGGAAGTAGATTAGCCTGGGATGTCCAGATTATTGGGTAATTTTCCCCGCCAAGCGCTACTTCCGGCTGCTCCTCTAAACAGGCAAAGAATTAATTAAGCGCTATTGCATGAAAACATATTATATACTGGAGGTATAGCTCCACCAATCTTGACCTTGGCTTGCCTTACACCCGCTAATCTGACAACGGAGACAAATGTCTTCCCTGCGGTCTTGAGCATTTAGAGTCACTTGCGGTCAGCTACAGTGAAAATTTTGCCGGTCAGAGGGACAGTAGTCGGAGTCAATGACTCGAATAACCTTAAATAGATGACTGAACGTTTCCTGACGTGACTGCTAGTATAAATAATATCAGTTATGTAGGTCAGATTCGCGAGTCGCGAAAATATTGTCATGAGTTCCGCTGGGCCCAGAACCAAGAATTACCGTGCTGGCTAGGACCAACAGCAGTTTATCCGATAGCCAGACAGTACAGTTGTGATTAATCTATGCTGTTCATCATCAAAATGGCACATCCACTGAGTAACGTGGAAATTTTACGGCCCACATCTGTAGTGCCACTTAATAGTGTCATGCTTAAACCTACACAAATATAGTTTACTTCAGTAATAGAAAGCGCGACGTATTCTTATCAATATTGTAGCGTGTAGACCAGTTACTAGGTAACGAACGCGAAACAGACAACAAAACAACATCCGCTACTAGGTAACATATTCTTAATAAACAAATATACGCAGCCGTTACTGAGTAACTCCTTCGCAAACAAAAATGTTCCCACGGTAACAAATCCACACGCAACAACAGAAGAACTATTAGAAACTGTGTTTTCTACACTGTCCGTGCAGAGATGTTATGAACAGGATAATGGACCAGTGAGTTCAATTGTGGGATATTCTCCGTACAGTAGCGACTTGAGCACAGAAGCTGAAGAATCTAAATGGTTAAGATCCGTTACCGGGAAACGACTAGTGAAAACAGATTGAGAAGGATTATCACTGCTCTAGTGATTCGTAAAGTGTGTTATAATTACTTGTAGTTACGATTTGTAGATGGTCAATAAATCGGTCACCAATCCAAACCCCGTCTGTAGTCACTCGTACACGTGACAGTTTTAAGATTGCTGTTTCTGCTGCTGTTGTCTTCTCCAAAAGTGTTCGTGGTTGCGGTAAAAGGGGCGATAAATATGAATCCTATTAGAGTGAGGAACATGGCTGTAGCGTCTTATACAAGAGTATGATTCTATGACTCACAATGTGTACCCACGGAGTTCGCTTCTCGCCAGGCAGTGGGCTGCGGTGACGACGTAACGCTTCGTAATGAGGGCGCCACCGCATAAGAACTTCTTAATTCCAGTAGCTGAAACAAATGTTACCAACTGTATATTTTTAAAACCAGGCTCCTCAGAATCTCTTATACAGTGAATAAGGGCTGAGGGTACACCATCTTGGTTCGTTTTCATTCCCGTTGTCATGAATTCCACGCGATGTTTCGATGACATGTACATCAAAAGCAATACGATATATAAGTAAGGTCTAGTTATGTACCTATATAACACCAAATATTTTCTAAATCTGCCACTCAGTATCATAGCGTTGTCAGTTGCGTTTTCAATATGGAGAATCTCAATTGAAACAATTTTTATAAATTCTGTAATTCATAAACAAATTTTCAACGTGCTGTACCTGCTCACGCTGGTTCCACGCTCGGGGATGTTCTTTTCTCTTCTACCCTGAAGATGAAGGCGATACGTTCCTCCGAAATGTCGGTTAACACAATATCTACACGGCGCCACATCCCAGAAGACGGAATTCTTCATAGTCACCGCCGTGAAACCTCAAATCTTACATTCAACATATTTCATTGTTCAACTTACTAACCACGTAACTGATTTTTGGCCACTCTGTACTTCTTATTTGCAGTTGAAACTATTCTCTAAACGATATTCCATCCATTTGATATTTCTTGGCACTACAATTCAAAAATTATTTTTAATAGTTTTGATTTGAAAACATAAAGAAAAAATAGACTTCGATGATGGGTTAATATTTAGTAGCTCTTGAGGAGGCAGGATGTGAAGGTGTGATGCTCTGGGTTCTTCTGTAGAGTTTGAAGTTCTCTCAAACGATTGTTATGAAGTTAAAGTTAAACTCAAAATAATAGTTTTGGCATAGTTGGGGGTGGTGTCCAGCTGGGTCCACTCGGCACGTCAGCCACTGAATGGCCTATTGTACCTGCCCCGGATGATTATGATGATGGAGAAATTAGTGGAATGAAGATTGGCAGGGGAAACCTGCCCCAGCGCCACTGTCCACCACAAATCCCACTTGACCAGACCCGGGCCGCCGCGGTGGGAAGCCAGCGACTAACCGCTTGAACTATGGCGCGGCCTGTAACTTCGGTTACATCAGCATTTAATCCGGCAACGTTAACATCAGGATGGGTTCCCTTTCTTCTTGGATATAATCCCGTGTTAAAGATCAACGGGTATTTCGGAGGAACATTTCATCTCCATCATCAGGGTCGAATAATACGTTCAAGCAATAAACCAGTATTGGTGTACTTGCTACCTGCTTCTTGCTTTTTTTGCTTGGCGAATTTTCCCACTCCGAAGAAGGAGATGGAATGTTCCTCCGAAATATCTGTTGATTTTCAGCGGATTACACGGCGTTATATCCCTGCCGATTCTGTGGTTTGAGATAGGGTCCAGTGACGCCCTCTTGTGAAAGCAGTGATGAACCTTCTGGTTCCGTAAAATGCTGGGTATTTCCCGACTACATAACTACCAACATCTGCTTCCCAGAACGAACTCGACCATAGGAAGGCAGGTGGTTACTTGATTGGGTGGTTTCTTGATTAGCTAGTTAGCTAGTTTGTGAGCTGGATAATTCATTACCACTCCTAGGCCCTACAGGTCCTAAAGCAGCTTTAAGATTATCTTGTTTGGATCAAATTTTAACAGATTTGTTACCAGTAAAGTCGATACAACAGAGCAGGTAAACATGAAACAGACATAATCGTTCCAGTAACAGATCGATTCAACGAAATAATCCTCAGAGGATGTCCTCTTTCATCTCGATTGTCAACTGGATATATTCTCTAATGTTGTAATTCCGGTATGTTGCTGGTGTCAGCAATTGAGTCTACTAAGTTTATGCTGTAGTTTCAGCAAATAATTCAGCCGATTACAGTAAATAGCTTTTACAATTGCTACATGAAAGAACGAAACGAAGAGACAGATTATGAAATAAGAACAAGAAAATTTTAAGAACCATTAAAGTCAGGAACAGAATTACCGCAGTTTAGATAAATGCAGAGTATTTACAGGGGAGCACATGAAGTATAGTTTGTTGCATCCTGTCATGAAAATTCCTATGGCTAACGTGTGTCACATTCTTGTCACATCTCTATTTCCAGCAGGAGGAGTTTGCTCCCTAGGACGTTTCGGCGTAAATTTTCCATCTAAAATGAATAGTTCCACCAATCTGTTATAGTAGGCCGTATCATAACTCAGGAGGTTAGTCGCCGGCTTACCACCGCGGCGGCCCGGGTTCGATGCCAGGTTAGTTCATGTGGGGCGTGTGGTGGAAAAAGTGACATTGGGGCATATTTCTCCGAGTATTTCGGTTCTCCTGCCAGTTCTAATTCCACCGACTGCTCCATACTCCTCTATAATCCAGGGCTCGTATAATAGGCTTCTTAGTGCCCGACGTACCAAGTGGACTCACCCCACCTCACGAATTTCCCCCCCCCAACACATTTATTATACATAATCGACAGAATCTTCAATAAATCTTCAATAAATACAGCTTGTGAATGAGTTATGCTCAGTGGCGTAATTCATATACTCGTTTTTCTTCTTGTTCACTTAGATATCATTTCAGTTCTTGTATCGTGGTATTACTCAGATCAGTCTGGTAGACTTACGACGGTGTATCTTCAGCCTATATATATACAGATTCGATATTTTCTGGCAGGTTCACTGCTAGCATATTAGTGTGGTTTTCTAATTTTTTAAAGTATATTAATTAAATAATTTTCCTGGGGAGTAAAGCGCGGCCGGCGCGTAAGGCTGACAACCTCACCGCTATCTTTGAGCCGATTGTCTAGAAATCGTGGGAATCTCGATGTCTCAAACCCTATGGGCCTTCACGGTCTGCTACAGGGATGGCTGTACCTTTTTTAGCTTCAACAGAGTACTTTTCGAAACTCTGTTCCAGATTACCCTGGGGTTTTTCGTGATGAGAAGAGGGAATTCACTCGAGATATGTTTGAGGTTTTAGGGATCCTAAAATACTTTTAAAATTACATTTTCCGTCTTTGGAATAGTATAATTGTACAATCTGAATGCACAAACCACTTTTTGCAAAGATAATTTCAATTTAAAATTTGTCTTAATTTAACATTTCCCCCTTCAGGTATATGTTCTCTAGCAGCAGCTCGTCAGTACTGTTGCGCAGTTCCTTATACGTGCCGTGTAATTCTATCAGTCAAGTAGCTCGCGAATTAATTGACAGCAAAATATGACGAACGTATAGAAGGTTCATTATTAACAATAGCTGAATATATTATCGTTATAATATTAACATATTCTCATTATAAAGCCAGTCATTATGTAATCAAAATGTAATGGGTAGCGCCTAAATCAAATTTCCACGCAAGTAAATAAGAGACAATGGCAATTTTCTTAACAGTGAATTGTGAAAATTAAAATACACCCCACTCCCAATCTATATTTTACGTGATTCACATCTTCTATCCTCAGTTCACAAAACTATGGCGTGTTTTCGTCAATGTCTTTGTGATATATTACGGTGTGTTCTGTTATTAATATTAGATATTAAATCCCCGCTGATTTGTGGTTAAAGAAGGGAATTTTGAAGTGGAAACCCCCTGAATTGGCAGTTTAACCGCTGTTGAAAGAAACAAGCAAAATACCAAGTCATTAAATGAGTAATCTTGGTCTGTGTTTGCCACGAAGCGGGAAGTGAGTTGCTCAAGATGAAGGAAACTTCGCTAGAGTTCTGTGAAACGGGATCAGGTAGAAAGAAGCATAAGCAACGACAAGAACTGTCTGTCTTCTGGATTTTCCTCCGGTGAAAACAGACGCTTGTAATGCTCACTGCGTGGTTGCAGCAAAGCATTTTCGAAAAGATCTTAGGTTCCTGCGAATCTGCGAAGGCACCTGCACACAAATCACTCAGAATACACATGTAAATTAAAGGTACGAGTTGTTTTTAGGCAACATCTTGACGCATTCACACAACGTAAATAGTCGAGGATAAAACTAAAAGAGAAAATAAAGATGTCCAACCAGTAGTCAGTCGCTATATCCGCCGCGCTATCTCGGCTCACAGAGGCATCCAATAAGCTACGTTATATCTCTCACTGGAAAAGGACACACAATTGGGGATACATCCATAATTCGTTTTGAGAGGGACATTGAAATGTGTAAAAACAATTGAGGCGCTGAGAAATCAGGCAATACTATTGCTCCTGCCATTCAAGACCTTGCCACCGACGTCAAAAAGGAGCCAATTCTGTGCCCGCAACTCTGCGTAAATTCGTTGTAAAAATACAAAGAAATATCGGGGCTCGAAGTATTTTTAATATTTCTCGTTAGATGCCTGATATTATATGTTGAATTTTCGATCAGTCTAATCAAGCTTATTAGCTCTTTTCTTAGAAAATTCTGAGTCTTGGTAGAAGTTGAAGTTACTATGCCAAGGGAGGTTAAAGCATGGGTGCAACAGGGTTTCGCCCTGTCCCCCACACTGTACAGACTACATATAAATGATTGTCCCCAAACACCTGGTGTCTATCTAGGTCTCTTTGCTAAAGACACCGGTATATGAGAGCCCGCAAAGAGGGTTACGTTCTCAGAAAGCTGCAGGGAGGTCTCAGTGCCATTGGGACGTGGTATGAGTGCTGGAACATAAAAATCAATGGAGATAAGACTCAGAACATGTACTTTCCTCATAGATTTAGGACCCCTGAGTCTCATCTTACATTGACTGAATTGAATATCCCCTTTGTCAGTCTTGTAAAATATCTCGATGTAATCTTCGTCAGGAGGATTACATGGAGATTGCACCTAGAAATGACTGAAGTCAAGGCCTTCAGAACATTTATTAGAATGTACTCCCTATTCAAAAGTGAACATTTAAGCGGTAACATTAAAGAAATCGTCCATAAAGCACTGATTAGGTCAGTAATGACTTATGCTTTCCCTCCAGGGAATTAATGACAGACACCTGCCTCGTACAGTTTCAGCGCCTGCAGAATAAGGTTCTCCGCGCCATTGGAAATTTTCCAAGGTGCACATCGGTCCACGATTTGCACACAGCTTTCAACATACCACACACACACACACACACACACATATATATATATATATGATTATACAGGGTTACTACAAATGATTCATTCCATTTCGAAACACTACATTTTGCCATAATTTTCCGGCTTCATTTGTTGCACGAGTTGCAGACGACCAGTATCCTTAAACCGCCGATACCACCGCAGAATGCCCTGTTTACATGGCGGTTCTTTTCTGTGCTCTGCTCTGAATGCACGCTGCACTGCAATAACAGACGAACATCTCGCATATTCCAACACACAGAAACTCTTTTCCAGCTTCGTCGCCATTTTATGAGGCACTGCACTCATGCTGCCAACTGGTGTATCACGATGCAAACTTGGTGAGTTTGCGGTTCTCTTCATATTAGTCATATCTGTATTTATAATACTTTGGAGAATATAGTGTTTTGAATCTGTAATCTGGCCAATAAATTTGCAGTCTTTATGAAAAATGAATATTTTGTCACGTATCTGGGTGACTGGAACGCGGGTTCAGATTTGTAATTGGATTTATCAACAACCTACAGGTCGTCAATACAAATAATTATTGCACTCTTGCTGATTTGTGCAATTTACAATCACTCCACACTAATCTCCTCAGTCTGTCTGCACTAGTCTTCGTGGGTTTATAACACGGGAGCTATAACAGTCTCACTGAAACACACACTTCAAATATTACGCATAAAAAAGTCTTCAAATCACACGTTAAATCCTCACAGGCCGACCTCCTGTACCCTTCTGTACTCCTGATTCCAATTCGCTCTGTTCGCGTGCTTCTGCCGCTACTGTCTATGACAGCTTCAAGTCAGAGTCAAAGTAACATTGCGACTGACGGTCAGTCAGTCAGTAAGTCTTGGTGTCGAGCACCATCTGGGGCTCATGACCAGATATTTATTATTATTTGACAGCTACGGTCTTATTTTTGTGGGGCGCCCTCTCTGACGAGAGGACGGGTCTGTCTTTTTCACATGCTGCTGGCCATTGCCAGAGCAGTCTTTCTCGGGTCCAGCTCCCTTGGGACTCGCGACCATATTTTACTGTCTCAGAGTTGAGACGTCCCTCTTCGTCGCCTCCTACGACTCGCAGGGTCACGATGGAGGTATTCCACCCCGCCTCCACACGGGTGTTTGCCAGCTTAGGAATTCTTCTCACTTATATAGCCGAGGGACGGACATCGACTAACAATAAGTCCAAGTCCAAGTCACATTGCGACTGACGGTCAGTCAGTCAGTAAGTCTTGGTGTCGAGCCCCGGCTGGGGCTCATGACCAGATATTTATTAGTGTTTGGCATTTACGGCCTTGTTTCTGTGGGGCGCCCTCTCTGACGAGAGGACGGGTCTGCCTTTTGTATATGCTGCTGGCCCTTGCCAGTGCAGTCTTTCTCGGGTCTGAGTCCCCTGGGGCTCGAGACCATATTTTACTGTCTCAGATTTGAGGCTTTCCTTTTCGTCGCCTCTTACGACTCGCAGGGTCACGGTGAAGGTATTCGTCAATATTTCTATACTGACTAACAATAAACACACGTCACGTGATCACTATCTCCTGTTTTGACGTATCCGAGGACATGGAAAACACAGCCGTCTTCATTGTTGCGTAACCTAGCAACGGGCTCGAGTCTACAGAGCTGTTGCCTGGCAACGCGTTGATCAAATTCGTTGCAGTATATTAACGTGTTCATCAAATGGCACCATCGAACCACTTCCAGAGCCAGATAAATCCAATGATGCCTTAAGATCCATTAGAATATAGTCCCCCCCTCCCATTTACACATACGTGCCGAAGAATCTTCCTTTTTCGCTTCATTTTCTCCACGTAAAGATTTGTTCATGAATTTCTCATGAGGCACAGCTCGTTCTCCTTCATGAGTTATTATCGTTATAGAGCTCACAGTTTCGAGTGTCTTTATTATAGTGCAATTTTAAATAATTTATCTGCAACTACGAATAATTAAATGACTTAGATCAACACAATTTATGAACGCAAATAAAATCTGGTACAATGCATTAAAATTGAAAACATCTTGTAATTGTAACTTGATTTTCCATTATGTTGTGAAACTCTGCTGTTCAGCTTAATAACAAATACGATTGCCTGCGTTAATAACGGGCAATGTTTACTTTAACAGGAAGAACAGGAAGACGTGCCTGCACACAAGTAAACAGATTATTATTGAGTATAGACCCACTGCTAAGCAATGACTCTGTAAACAGCGGCCGCTGCTATGTAAGGCCCTCAACATAAACGCATGCAACAATATAACGGGGTTATGCGACCTGCTTTTAAGCGAAGACATGGTAACCGCGGTAAAGACGCCTCAACAGTAGAGAAGTTGTGTTTTCTATGTGGTCCGTGCCGCGACCGTTGCTATGCAATGGTAGGGTAAACACGATTCAATAATAGGGAGATCTTGTCTTTTGCGTGGTCTCTGCCGAGGAGTTATCTTGAAGACATTTTACGCTACAGTGCAGTTGAGAATTCAGCTGTGGAGTGTTAACCAGCGGGCAACGGAAGCTGAAGAATCTCCATTGCTAAGATTAGTTACCAGGAAACGTCTAGTGAAGACTGCAGAGGAATAGCCATTGTGGAAAGCGGTTACCAAGTAAAGAAGAGTGAAAGTAGACAGAGAAGACTTTGTGTGCAGTGATTTGTAGTGTGGAAATCAGCGATAGTGCTATTGTTATTATTAGTTACGACCTGTGAGTAGTAAATAAATCTAGTCACTAATCTACTAATGTCGGTCACGGTAGCCGAGCGGTCTAAGGTATGTACTGTCTTCGCTCGCTTGGAAACCGGGATCGTGGGTTCGAATCCCACTCAAGGAATGGATGTTTAGTGTGTGTGTGTGCGTTTTTCTGTGTTTGTGTACAGGTAGAGGCCTTGCGACGAGCTGATCACCCGCCCAAGGAGTCCTACCGAATGTGTAAGATCTAGAAAAACCGAAGTGAACGGAGAAGTTCATGGAGGTAGGCCTAGGCTCATTGGGGCTGTAGTGCAAGGAAAAAAAAATCTACTGATACATGTGACAGTATGATGGAGACTTCCCCTATTCACTAATCTTAATGTTCGATTGTATTGTCTGGTAGATTGATTAATGAGTTTTAATTTGAGTTATCTTCGCTGTCAACATGTTCAGTATACCAAACCACAACTTAAAAACAAGCCTGAATTAAATAAAATTAACATAATTGTTTTCAGTGGTATTTCCTCCACGCCACATATAGTGATATCCCGCCGTGACTCGATTGTCGAAACCTCATTAATTTACAGTAAATTCTTCATTTGACGGACCCAATTTAAAAAGATTTCGGATTTAACGGACCCATTTCTCCGATGCTTGCTGTTATTCTCCAGTTGATATGTCGTGTATGTGTATCTCGCCAGTCAAGCTGCGAACGTGACACGTGTCTAGCTCACAGATCGTTCTGTCACTAATTAAATTTGCGTTGTTGGTTTCAAGCAGACACCGTTTTACGAACATTTTGATTTAAAGGCGATTCGGCAGTAACTGATACCCCTACCCCAATTAGTCCGTTAAATCGAGAATATGCTATACTTACGTGATTGGTATTCAAAGAGTGCTGTCCAAGGGTACTGCTCCAAATCCGTCCTGTTTCCACCCCAAATTCTCTGGCTGTTGTCAATGCCACACTCTTTAGCGGGTACCAGACGAGCGTTACGGTGTGACTCCCAACTTGAGGCTAGCCTCTGCTCCTGAGGCTTGGTGTTCCACACCGGCTGCATGTATCCTCCACCACCCGACGAGGTAGCAATTGGCGTTACAGACTGCGAGTTGGGACAGCACACTTTCGGATTTATCCCTTCAAACCCACAGTGAGACTGTCTTAGAAGTTGGACTGATTGGGTGGGAAGAGGTTTCTGCTTGAACAGGGACAGCAATTGTTGGCATTCCTGTATACGCACGCACTGGCCCACACAGCCACTTCCTCCATGGTAGGAATACTCTGGAAACACATCTGTTTGTTAGTTATCATATGTGTAACATCTGCTGAGAGCTCAAAGGTTAAGTCTCACAATATCTTATAAAAGTACTGTACTGTTCATTTCATCTGCTTTTTTACGTATTCCTTTCCTGCCCTACATATTAAATAATGATGCATCAAGCCCTAGGTTATCGCATTCTCCCAGGAATAACATCCAAAAATAGTCAGGCTCAAACCACCTCATTTACATAGAATACATCACTTCACATACCCACACCAAATACCGTATTTACGCATGTATAGGCCGCACATTTTTTCCAAAAATTCAAGAGGAAAACTGGGGTGCGGCTTATATTCGAAATCACACTTCATTTAAAAAAAAATTATATTCATAATTAGTAATACAGGGCGTTCAAAGATCGAGGAATTATTTTATCTATAATTTCTGTCTGAAAATTGTGCTGCGGCCTATACATGCGTAAATACGGTATTACTAATACTCATAGAATATATACGATACGATGAAATGAAAGATTGCCTGCCCATTCGTGACCTGCTACATGCAACGTATTAATGCTCGACGTTTCGTTATTACGATAATCTGAAATTCTCTGGCTATGAAAATCTCGCGCTTACAAAACTTATATACCGGTATATACAGAGTGTCCTAGGAGGAAATGTCCGTATTCTGGGAGATCGTGTTACCTGTCATTCGAAACAAAAAATGTGTATATGTACATGTGTCCCATTCCGAATGGTTTTCGAGATAGAGATATTTCACTGTACAGTTTTAAAACTGTTGATAAGAAAGAGATATTACTTACTGTTTATAATACCGGTATATATTCTTCAAGTGACAAAGTTGGTACAGTTTACCTAGTACAATACATTTTGGAAAATTTAGTCGTCAACATAAACGCACGTTGCAACTCTTGAGGACATGACGTGTTGCTCGTCTGTACAGTGAAATAGCTGTATCTCGGAATAGGACACATGTACATGTATAATTTTTGCTTAGAATTGCTGATATTATGACCCCCCCTGAATGTTGATACTTCCTCCTGGGACACTTTGTATAAAGCAGAGTGTGTCGATCATGGATTATGATGACGAGATTTGTTGAAAGTAAAATGAAATAAAACTGGAGAGGAAATGGTCACAACCTGATCTGAAGCAATATCCTACTTCCTTGATTTGATTAGGCTGGCGGAATTAGGGAAATTTCAGTATTTGTTCCGACTAAGGCTATTTTATTCTCTTTTTGCTAGTGGGGTGGGATTAAGTCCCTTCTACTGCGGCCACTTCTGGCCTATTGTACCAGCCCCAATGATAGGTGAGGGTGATTGTGGAGCAATTGTTGGAATGAAGATTGGCAGGGGAAACCGAAGTACTCGGAGAAAACGTGCCCCAGCGCCACTTTGCCCACCAAAAATCCCACTTGACCAGATCCGGAATCGAACCCGGGCCGCCGCGATGGGAAGCCAGCGACTAACCGCTTTAGCTATGGCTCGGCCAAGGCAACCAGTTGCTCTACGTGTCTGTTAGATAATCGGTCGTCTGACCGCATTAGTGGAAGCCTTCAGTTAGCGAGAGATGTTCACATAAAGTTTGTTACTAGAAAAGAGGCTTCAGTGACCGAAGCCAGTTTCCTGTCAGCGTGTAGAGGAAACCAGGGGGAACGTATTTCTGACCGGAACTTGTCTTTGATCAGATGGGGCGGAATTTTCTGTCACAATAGACTACATAAATGAAATGGCTTACAGGTAAAACGCAGTTCCATCGTCATCATCATAATCATTTTTTCCTAACGAAACTGAGGGTACACTATCATGGTCATGTATATCTTGTTTAATCATTTCTGAGACAGTTTTCAGTTTTCATCAATCTCGCTATGAAAGCCATGTCACCTGCAATCATTTTTTTTTTCAATGGCTCTTCCAGCTCAGTCATTTTTCACAGACGGCAAGGCTCCTTGCACGAGTGATCAACCTGTCGCAAGGCCGCTACCTTAATACAGGGCAGCACAAACAAAGAATAGACGCATACACACACTGAACATCCATGCCATGAGTGGGATTCGAACCCACGATCCCAGCCTCCGAGCGAGCGAACACTGTTTATGCCTTAAGGCGCGTCCACATTACTCGTGATCGTGCTCGTGTGACTCGCTATGCTCGCGAGTAATGTGGACGATATGACAAGTCACGAGACAAGCAAATTTTTAATTTAAAAACTATAGCCAATAAATTAAAATACGACTACAGCCTATACACACCACGAGTAAAGATACGGATCCTCACGCGCCCAAGCCTGGCGAGCAACTGAAGTAGTGTGGACGAAGATTTACGTGCACAAGTAAAAGTCAAATGAGTCTCCCGACGAGTACAAGCCTGGCGAGCACGAGCACGAGCACTAGTAATGTGGACGCGCCTTAAGACCGAGCGGCTACTGTGATCGGCCGGCAATTACACTACAGAATAAAATGAAATACTTACAAAGTCTTGATTTGGAAACCTGTACCTAAAAGGTCGCTTGGAAAGACGATGTGATAATATTAAAATGGATATTAGGGAGATAGTAGAATATAAGCTTAGGATATGTCTATGGCTGTTGGTTAGGATCGTATCCATCGGCGGGCTTTGGTATTAGTGATGTTGAGCTACCACGTCATTAGGTGGTTACTATTAACACTGCAGACAACGTGGTCTGCATACTTCGGTGTATCCAGTATTTGAGCTTAAGCATTTGTGTTTCGGTACATTACTCTGTAACCTGCAAGTCGTACTTACAAATGCCAATCAGGTGGCACCACAAACGCGTGTTTATATTGATTATCTTTATCTCTTTTTCTCTTTGTGTCTGTATATATAATTTTTGAGGTTCATTACATTGTTCACAATAAAGAGCATTTGGATTCTCTCTACAGTCTGCACCATCACACCATATTTCTCTAAGTCACATTTTAATATTGTCTTTGCATCTATTTGCTGATATCCCAAAATGGTCTATTTTCTTTAAATCTACAGATTAAATTATGTTATTTTTTAGCGTCCCATCCATGCTACAGGTCCCGTCCGCATAATCTCCCTTATTTTATCGTAATACTATTATTTGGCGAAGAATACATATTTTGAAGTTCCTCATTATGTAGTTCGCTTCCTGTCACATGTTCCTCTCTTTTGGATCTAAATATTTTCCTCAAAACTTCGTACTCGAACCTCCTTAAACCAAGGGCTTCGCCTAGTTCAAGATAGAGCTCCAACCTACATCAAATATCAGATGAATTTTCGTACACTTGTTAATTTTATGTTTCTAGATAGAAGAAATGCACTTCCCTATGAAGCTAATGTACCCTGAGATGCAGTCGATTCAAGTGAACTCATTGCTACTTACGTGACACGCTCAACGCGAGTAGGCAGCTGAAGCAGAGAATTACACGCTGCGGTCTGGAAGCCATTATGAGAGACACTGGGCACTGACGCGGACTGACCGGTCTGCCTTGGAATGTCTCGGGCGGGAAATCCCTACGCGCTATATATGTTTATTGTGGAGATCCCTGCGCGACTGGAAACACTAGGAAACCTTCGTAGCTAGTGATAAACATATCAGGATTAGAGGATTTTATCACAATGTCTTCCTGAGAGAAATGATGAATAGTCCCAGAAATGGTGTTAATCATCATCTCCATGCTCTAAAGTTACAACACATAGTGCGACTGTTTGGGAACTGTAGAAGTTGTCCCTGTGCTTAACTAATTAAGCGCTATGCAATGAAAACATCTGGTGGAGTTGCACATATAGACCCATGTTACCTTAGCCTCGATACTAGTTGGAGATCAGTGATCAGCTTTACACCCCGGCCGGTTTACCACCGGGGAAAGAGCCTCCTGTACCCATTGGGTAAGAGGCTGGGTGAGCCTCAGAACTGGTCTGGACAACGCGGAGAAGAGAAAAGTGTTCGCCTTACCGGGACTCGAACTCCAGCCCGTCTGTCGTCCAGTCCGTAGCCAGTCGCTATACCGACTGCGCTATTTCAGGGAACGGTGCGGAAGAGAATATTTGGATGTAGGACGGGAAGTGACACAAGCGTGGAGGAAATTGCTTAATTGGAATTTCAATAATTTGTACTCTTCAAAAAATATTATTATATCATGGACGAGGCATGTGACACGGAAGGAAGAAACAAACTTCGAACAACTTTACATTGCTACTAAAGGGCACGCAGTTCTCATTAAGAAGCTAACGGTCGCTCAGTTTGTTACTAAACTGCCGCCTTTTATGGGATCCAAAGTTCATAAGAATCTGCTGCTGACTGACTTTAATTAAATTGCGGGTTCATTGAAAGCAGGAAATGCCTGAAGCAAGACTCTGCAGCGAGGAATGACTAAGTGGTTTAGTTGATGAGCTATAATTAATTAATTTAATTATATATTCATCCAGTAATTAAATGCAGCCATTTGGTTAGCCATTTTCAGTCTCAGAACTTACATCATATATCAGTATTTCAAGAGGGCGTTCGAGTGATTTTTTTGTTATTGGATAAAACGCATGGAAAAATTTTCCGTTTGTCTAATTAATTTAGCACCACGCCGTGAAGGCGTAGAGAGGAGTGGAGAAATTGATGCACGTATTCTTAACCTCGGCGCTAATCTTCATTTCCCGTTCCCTATGCCCCAGGGGAATAGCCCCGTTCCCACTCGTTCGGCCGCGTGAACCTGAGACGCTCTTGACTCTTTGGAGAGAAGACAAATCTTTTGCCTCTGTCACGGATCAAACCCCGATTCTTCGGCAGTGTAGCCGTTATCTCATCCCTATACCAACTGAGCTATTGCAGATTCCTTCTTGTTGTGTGGTGTTTATATGAGGGAGAGTCAGCAATTAAGTCACTATTGGAAGTAAAACAGCTGTAATGGGTGTAATAGGTTTTGTATATATACAATTATCACTAGGTAGCAGCACAGACCAGGTTCATGACAGCTTATGTAGCAGACAGGCATGCTTATGTTTATAGGCCGGTTTCAGTAGTCAAAATGGCGACCGTGCTTGAGTTTATTAACGAAGAGCAGCGTTTTTTTTTTTTGTGGGCAAAAGAACCCAATGCAAAGGATATTCATAAAGAAATATTTACTGTTTACGGTGGGAAGTGTTTGTCCCGTAAAGCTGTCCACAACTGTGTCGATAAATTCTCTCAAGGACGTTCGAAAGTCCCAGATGTTGCCCTACCAGGTGAGGAAGTGGCTGAGACAACACTCAAAAGACTTCTATGCTGCGGATTTTGACGCACTGATAATGCGATGGGACAAGTGTATCACTGTTGGAGGAGAATATGTGGAGAAATACATGCTTCTTTCGAGTTTCGGATGTCACATGTTTTATGTTTTATGTCCATTTGTGACTGGTTTACTGTCTGCCTCTTAATTTGTTTTGTAAGTCTATGACCCTCCATTCAATGGACGTGTTGAAGCCAATTATTTCTATGTGTGTAAGATTTTCCTCCTAGTTATTCATTTCGAGATCTTTTAAAATCTATTCATTCCTCTGTGTCGAAAAAAGAGTATCTGGCTGAGCCTTAGATCTCAGAGCCCCATAGTCTGTATCAGTCTCGTCTGGTTGCTGGAAATTCGTTACTAGAGAGCGGAGATGTAAGAGTCGTGGTTTTGTATAGTCCTAGATCTGTTCATAATTTTGTGAACCACAACGGTGGTTACGACAGGTACTGTCTTCTGGGATATATTACCATGTAGTCCACTGAGAGTCAACCGACGTTTCGGAAGAAAATATGGCCTCCATCTTTTGGGTCGAAAAAGAGCTCTACTTGCTACCTGCCTTCACGTTGATTTCATGCTCGGCTTGTACTTCGACCCTGAGTATGGAGGCGACATGTTCTTCCGAAACGTCAGTTAACTTTCAACAGGCTACACAGCTTATATTCCGGAAGATAGTACCCTTAAAATTAAATATGTATTTGTCAAATTTTTTATTTTGAAATCCAACTAATTCTCCCTTCCATATGATATAGGCATGTCGAAGTGTTTATTTTTTTCAACACCGAAATATAACACGCTGATCATATTCGGCAGTCATCAATGATATATCGAACAACAAGCGAGCTCGTTTCCATGGTAACACAGGTAACATGAAAATATAACTGGATATTTTTATACCGATTTCCTGCTAAATTTCGGTCTAGAAAACCGAAATTAACGGCCATGGGTGGGGATTCGTTGCGCTGACCACGTGACACCCTCTATCCGCAAAAGTTGGCACTAACTTCGCCGACAAGCGGCGGTCGCTCGGTCGGTATAGTTCGCTTGCGGATTGGGGGATATAAAATACGGCGGCCTGGCCACTCAGGTTGTGGGAGTTGCAAATCTGAGACAATAAAATGTGGTCATGAGTCCCGCGGGACACGGACTTGAGAATGACTGCGCTCTCGAGAACCAGCAGCAATCCTCTCGTCAAACAGGATGCTACAAAAGGACCACAACCATGAGTGTTCATTTAAAAAAATACTAGCCATGAGTCCCAAGGACCGCCGGTCGTAAAGTAACTCTCTGTAAAGTGTCTGGTGGATGGAAACATCTCCTGAATTTCTGGCCAGAGCAATTATTTCTCTGCGTCCCGATCAGCTCTGATCATCATCCTATCATCGGAGATAAAACAGCCGAAGCGTTAAGCTACGTCTTATGCAGAGTTTTGAGGTATCCCCTCCACGACACCCGTACACCCTTACATTGTTTCCCGTTACTGCTTCCGAGAATCTTAGGCTCCAGTTGAAAGTGGATGAACTTGTGACGTCACTCTCTGCTCCAAGGTAAACGGCTAAGGAGGTTACATTCTGCTGAAACTGAACACGTACAGAAATGATACAAATGACGGGGTTTTATGCTTCCTCATATACACATACTTCAGCCCCCAATTAAAGACAAGGTTCATCGTGCTTAATTAGTTAAACATTATGCCATTAATACACAAAGGGGGCGGAGGTATACGAGTAGCTTCACCAGTCTTGACCTCTACACTAGATGGAGATGAGTAGTCAAGCTTCACACCATGGTCGTTTTACCCACGGGGAAATCGCCCCCCGTAGCCATTATATAGGAGGCTGGGTGGGCTTCATAGCCGGTCTGGACACTATGGAGAAGAGAAAAATCTTACCCTGCCGGGAATCGACACAGGACCGTCCAGCCTTTGTTCCGTCGCTATATCGACTGAGCTATCCCGACTCGTCTTCAGCCCCTCCCCGCAATTATATACGAGAAATTATTTTTTTTGGAATTGCGTCTGTCAGTGAGACGGGATTTATTTATATTCAGCATTTAAGAGCGCATTCGTCTTAGGACGGTACCCGGGAATGGCCCCAAAACACAAAATGATTTTCTCGGAAACGGCTCCAATGATTCTGATTAAATTTCAGTAATTTATCTAGCCCATTTCGATAAATAAAAATTTCATTCATGGTGTCTTCATGAAATTATGGGCGCACGCACTAGGGGACTGAATGCGAAATGCTGAGTTTTGTGGAGACCTGTTTTATCGATAGCAAGGATTTCATTTTGTTGCGTCTTCAGTAACCTACAGTGGTGTACTGAGCAGCAGTCGATTTATTTTTCGCCGCAGTGTGGTCCAAGTCAGTCATATATCCTAAATTATATGCAAAATATTTGTGATAATAATTCTCTTCGATAAAACAGTTTGATGGCATATAAGCTTTATGACAGCATCAGCAACTAGCCCTCACCTCAGCGATCAGACCGGTTCCCTTCACGGGGTTCACTCCCAGGATATAAAGCGACCGAAGTGTGTAGCTGAATCCTCACCTCCTCCTAACAGTACCTTTAAGAATATACTGAGTTTTACCTTCACAAATTTGATGAGCCGAAATAGTTCAATTGTTATAGCAATGGGCTACGGTCTAGTCGGTGGGAGTTCGATTCCCGGCAGGGGCAAGAAATTCGTCTTTACTCCACAGCGTCAAGACCGGCTCTGAGGCCAACACACACCTCCATCTACTGCCGAGGTTAAGAATGGTGCAGGTATGCCTCCACTCCCTCATACATTTTCATGGCATGGTAGTTAAGCACAGGAACAACTTTACCTCTTGTTAAGCGAGGACGAAGATAAGGAGTGTAAGGATATTTGAAACGTTGACCTTGTAGCCGACACCTGCAGAGGGCCTTTATCTAGCAACAGTTTTCACAGATTTCTTGATTAATGGCAAATCCCAGATTCTTTGGTCCTCCAGTTTATGGGCCAGTTTGCTGTTTGCCCATACAGCGTAGCAAACTTGAATTTGCTATCGTTAAAATGTTGCGGAAACCGAAAGTTCATGACGGTGACCTCGAAAGACCAATATTGACTCTACCCTTATTCTTAGCCTGTATACTGAATTTTGTAGGCGTCTTCCTCCGACTGAGATTGTGACCAAACGTAAGAACCTGCGGAGGCGTACGTTAGTCATTCGAAAGCTGACATCGTCTGGATGTCGTGAAGCATAAACATTTTGCGATCAGACTTACGATAGCTGCTACATTTCTCTAATC